TAGAGTTAGAATTTACATTCCTTATACATAGTTTAGAATACTCAATAGGGATATAGGAATATAATTTCTAAAAAAAACGACAAATTAAAGAAATAAATGAAAAGTAAACAACTGAGCATTCTATGACAACCTTCACTAGCTTTTAAAAGGAGTCCGAGTGGTAAACTATTCATAATCCCCTTATTGATTAGGATTTGGATCTTGGTTCTCTTTATATGAAATTGTTAATGAAATAGTGAGCTACACTAGTCCAGTAAGAATATTACACTACTTACCGATACAGAAACTGAAGGTCGGTAAAAATCATAAAAACAACCAATGGATCTCTTAATTTAAGTAAATTTATTTATTATCATAAGTAAAATCATTTATTGCATACTTATCGTTGCGAGCTTTCTAAAACCGACCTATCGAGATAATAAACTCAAGCAACATTATAATATCATATTTAAGTAAATAAGAACAAGAACTTTCCCTTTTTATTTGCTTACCGGTATCTTTGGAGGTTCATAGGGATATCCTACTACGCACGAATCAATATTCAACATTGTCAACTAATTGGCCATCCCCGTACCCCGTTCAGTATGAGCGTAAAAAATACCATCTTTTAATATTCCGTTCGGTATGAGGGTGAATCGGGTCGTTCTCATATCTCGTCCGGTATGAGCGCCAAAAATATCATTTCTCAATACTCCGTTTGGTATGAGACAACATTCACAGTAGAGTTCCCTATGTACCCGGTTCGTCTACTATCTCTCAGGATATCCAGTAAGATAACCATTTATTAATTTACGTAACCAAGTAATTTTCTGTTTGCATATTAATTTTCAATTTCATAAATCAACTGTAAATCACGCAAGATAAGTAATAAATATACATAAAGGAAGTACAATTGAATCATTTAATCATTTTAGTATTTTATCATGTATTTAAAGCTGTAAACTCAACAATCAGCTAAACATGACAAATAAATTACTAACCGGTTTCGGTTCAATTAGTAGTCTGTAATTATTCTAAGAGTTTTCTAAATTGTACAAAATACTACATTATTGATTATTAATCTTCAATTCCATAACAAAGAATAAAGTAAGAGATTCTTACCTGAATCAGTGTCCGAAATACTAAACTTTCTATTGCGCCTATTGGCGATCTATGGGTTTTCTGAATTTTTTTGCGGAGATTAAAACACGCTTCACGTACCTATAAATACTCAAAAACCTAAAATCGATGTTAAAAATCTTTTTTTCAGCCAAGTTGGGGGTTTCGGCGTGGCAGCACTGCCGTACTCCGACGACGAAAGATACGTTAGGGGGCCTCGGTTGACAAAAAAAAATTAGAAAACGAAAACTACCAGTGGTGGAATTTTTTGGTGCGGCGGTTCCGCCGACTCACTTTCACAGCTTGGTGTTTTTCTTCGGTCAACCTATAGAAAATATAATGGTAAAGACAATGGTAGAAAAATCGCATGAAACAGGAAACGGGAAGGGGCTCATCGGAGGCGATTGCAAGTTTTGCCCGTAGTGGCTCTGCCGGGTTTTGCCCACGGTTTTCAACTTATTAACCATTTGTTTTGCTCTGATATGGCCATATGGGTGATTGGAATCGAATTCTGTGTAGGTGAGAGAATTTTTACTTTTTTTGGCGGTCGGAGGTGGCTCCGGTGCGGTAGCGGGCGGCGGTCGGCTCCCTTTTCTATCGACTGGTTCTTCTTCTCCGGTAGGGGGCTGACGGCTAGGGTTCAGGTTTAGTGTGATGCAAAATATTTATACTAATCTCACGTTAATCTGGACCGTTTATCGCATTTAATCTCGACCATTCGATCACACCTAAGGAAGAAACGAATCTGATCCGTTCATCGCGTTTGATCTCGACTGTTCGATCGTACTTAAATAGTAAACGAATTTAGACCGTTCATTACATTTGATCATGACCGTCTGATCGCACTTGAGAAGAAAACGTATCCGGGCCATCTATGGGCACGAGAACGCTTATGGGTTGTCCGATCGTGCGGCACGCGAATCGCCAGCGTAGCCTCCCGCGTGGCACCGAGTTAGTAGACTTGCCACGCGGCGCGCTCCGATTTGTTGAGACTGTTGACGGTTTAAGTGCAAATTTTTTAATTGTGTTCTGACCCCCAATTTCAATTTTCCTTTAAAACACCCTAATCCAATGTTTACTATTTTTATCAAATATTTTCATCTCATCCTAATTATTTTTTCCAATAAAATAAAATTT